TAAATTGAAAACTATGTGAAGAAAACAAAGGGCAGCTATCGTGAGCTAAAAAGTAAAGAAATATATATGGATTGGACTAATCCCTTCTTTGACATGGGATTTGGATTAAATGTACCTGTACGATTAGGTGGAAAAGAGTAGTTCTTCGGGAAAGACTTCCCCAAGAACTTCTCTTGGCAAAGCGAACAGGGATAGATTTTACATGGCCCACAATATCAAAGAATTAGAGCAGCATTAAATAGATGCGTAGACTAGATGTCTAAGTCATTACCAAATGATTCGTATATCATATGAACTGCAGGCCTGCACTGTACTACACCATCCTGTTGTGGAGACCCCAAAACTGCACTCGGCCAAACTTTCTTGCTGCCTGTCTAGTCTAGTCTACTCTCATGATGGCCAATGGTTTAGTTTGCCTTCGGTGGTACGTTGTCTTGTTTGGGCTCTGCCTTTGGGCACTTTTTTTTGGCGTATTTTATTTATGCATGTTCATCGGTGCCGATTATTTCTGAACCAGACCGAGCCAGTGTGCGGTGATCGAGGAATTAGAATGCTGACATAATGGGAGTATGGGCCATTGGGATGACCCAGCGTATGGCTTAAGGCAAAAAAGGCACACTGAAAAACCAACTGTCTTCAATGTTACGTAAAGAATTCTATCAAGATTCAAGATTCGAGAGTGCAAGTCCACCCCGTGATCTGAGTACTTCTGCCATGCGAGGACACAGGAGTCCTGTGTTTAGGTCCCAAGCAAAGGTCCTGTGACAGGAGCTTTGCTTGGATGCTCCCCAACCCAAAGCTCCACCGAGCAAGCTGCGCCCTACTCTGAAATGTGATGGGGAGAAACTTACATTCGACGCAAACATTATTAGTCCAGTAAGTGCGCAATGGATCAGGTGACATTTAAGAATACCAATACGCACGTTGTAGTTCCCAAGGAAATCACACTGTGCGGATCACTCTCTTGAGTCTCTTATTCTAAGATGTCAATACTTCGAGATCGTTTGATATATGCTTAGGCCTCGTGCAACCGAATCAGACATGACTTGGAGATATGACTTGGAGTCTTGGAAGCATTGGCAATCGCATAGCGCTCGGTGATTAGAAAAAGGTTCGTCCCTCGTTTAGCGGGATTGCACCCCGACAGAATGTTTGAATCTTCAGAGATGTTAGTCTAAATCAATAAAATTGCACGAGTCGAGCTGAAAAGCTAACTCCCGTTTGGCAAGTGCCATCAACTTGAAGAATAAGGAATCGGACCGTGGCTTAAATCATCGCTAAAGTTGGGCGTTGCCGATGCAGACTTCAGCTGTGCATGAGTCAATTCAGCCCACAAAATTCCTCCTGTCTGTGCGGAGGGCAATTCTTTCAGGACTTCCAAAAGCACCCACCGTAGGAAAAGAGACCATAATTGAGTACGTTAGTAAACCATCAAAATTACACCTGGTCTGAACTTCTCTCGCGTACGAAGTTGACCTGACACGACACACCCAACCGGATGTACAGACATCAAGGCCCTACGGGGGGCCTTGATGTCTGTACATCCAGCTCCGGCCGCTGTCGAGCGAGGATGCAAGATCTCAGAGCTGGAGACGCCGTGAGAGAGAGCCCGAGATCAAAAGGTCAACCGGGCAGCAACAGACGGCGGTATCGGCCCACGTATGAGTACTAGCAGGGATTAGGCATGAGAGCGATAGCGAGTCAAACTTGGAATCAAAAGTCAGCATCCAGAAGCCCAGAGGCCCAGAAAAGTGGTGCCTTGCCCAAGATTCAGAAAATCAAGATGATGAGGGCAATGGGACTGCGTGATGATTTGGCGGATGATCAGGTCGAACGAGGGCCGTTCGATCTCAGATAGTTCGCATATCTCGTTCTCGCGCAGTGCAGCATGTTTCGCATTGTCATGCTATCAGAGCAAGCCAGATCGAGCTAGCCCGCATCATACAATCCCGTCCCTGTACGCCTTGATGGGGTATTCCTTCCCTTTTCCTCAGAATTAGTCCATGTACTGTACGAGAAGGTTCAGCCCGTACAAGTGGACGGGGTTCTTCCCTTCCCTTCCCATCTTCTGGCGATGTCGATCTCGGAGGCGAGGGAGGAGTCCACCAGATTGAAGGCCCCGTGACTCTCTGCCTGCCAGCAGGTACTCACTCCTGGGAGGCAAGGGAATCTTCTCAGGACCTTCTAGAACTTCTTCTCTTCTCTTTCCCGGAGCCCCGGTGAAGTGGCACGCGAGGGAGCCTGGATCGGCTCGCAACTTCTCGTCTCCCCCCTCGCATGGCGGGGTCACGTGTGTGCCCTGCTGCTCGCTCCCGAGTCCCGACGTACAGATCAGAGAGCGAGCAGCTTTCTCGAAGCGCGATGAGCACTGCCGGGTGCTCTCGTGCCGGGAAATTTCCACCGGTACAGACCTCAACTCCAGAGCCGTCACGTCACGTCCACGTATGCAGTGGAGATCCGAGCTGGACTCCACGGGGGCCCCCCTTGGAGCCTCGAGTCAAAGTCCCTCAACGGAGCACGTACCGCTCGACAAGGAAGGACCGGTCGTGAAAGGAAGGACACTGTGCAATGTTTACTCGATCGGCCATAGATTCACCTGCCTACAGATGAAGAACGCAGACCTTTGCATTTGGTCCTCCCTGGAGCGAACAAGACTAAGCATGCCTAGTGTTGGTAGATGGAAAACGTCGGGATTTGGTGATTCCTCGATTCTACGACAATGATTGAACCGGGCGATCCGGGATCGGCAACTACTGTCGAGTCTCCCTCAGAGCCACTCTCTGGTTGCACTTGTGGAGTGTTTTCCTTTGTGCAGGATATTTAAAAGTCCAGCTGACGTATGATAAGCGATGGTCGACATTTCACTACTGGAATCATGCGATATTTTTGTGAGGGAATCTGATTATGAACAATCTTACGGTAGAAATCAAGATGATTTTCTCTTAAGCATGTATTTTGTAAAGTTTTATCGTGAGTGTGCAAATACACATCCCATCACCGAGAGGTCAGGAACAAAAATCTACAACCTGCAATATTTCGTGAATAATATCCAGTCGTCCAGTTATCGAGGTGCACTTCAAGAAACCCGAATTCATTCTACACCGCGTTCTCGTTCTGCAGTCGGGATGATGAAATGATGGGAATCGCCTACAAATATTTTATTAGATATGGACAGTGGACAAATGAAATGGAAATTGGAGATACCTACAAATTGGCGATTTGAAAACCTGTCGTGGACTCGGATGGGCCTATCACTATCGATTTTTACAAAAAAATCAGCCTTGCGGAAGATGATAATGCCCTTGTGTTCGAACCATTCGCTTTACTTTTCATTTCTAATTTTTTTTAACTTGAAGCATTTACAGTTTTCGAGTTGTGCTGTTGTTGAATTAAAGTAGTTCGATGGAACATGCTTCTGTGTCGACTGCATCTTCTGATGTTCGTGTAAGAAAGAAGACTGCACAAAGACGTGGGTGAAACTGTTCATTGTACGACGTAAATGTGGCAACATTATTTGGGAGGCTAAACGACGATATGATATACCATACGTTTGTTGGTCTGCAGGTCGTGTACATGATACAACTCGCCTTGCGAGGTCTCTTTGAGGTGCAAATAATATAGTTGTGGAAATCAACTACTCTAAGAAAAAATAAGTCAACATCATGATTTAATAAAATCTTCTTCTCAACCTGACAATAATAATGGCTTCTACTTGTCAAAATGTATGCTCTTGTGGCTGCTATGGTGTTGAAGTCTTGAACATTCTCCAAAATTGTTGCATGTGCACACATTCATTTAATGTACATCTACAATATTCCCCTCAGTCTGTCATCATTTCGAAGGACGAAAGGGACTTTTTCATGACGATTTCAATCTGCAAAATAATCCTGAAGTAAAAAACAAAATTATTTCGGAACATAGACAAGTTTCCGCAACTCGTCGTAGCTTGCATGAAATCATTTCTCCGAATTTTAGCGATCAAAGACAACGCAGGCCAAGACAGAATTGTTGTCATGTGAATCCTCGGATTCACATGACAACAATTATCCACCTACAACGAGAATCCGAGGATGCATGTGTAGATGAATTCATGGATTAATAAGACCCATCGTAGACGATAGAGCGAACCCACCAGTCATCTCGATTTCCTAGGTATTAGAGTAGTTCCATTTCCTAGGATGCCCGCCGCGATTGCAGGACCAGGAGGGAATTGAAATACAAGCCTGTCATTATTGCCCATCAAGAATTGCCGGTTTAGCCCCTCGTCCCCACGCCTCAGACAGCTACACATTATTCAAGCGCAGTTGCTTTTCTTGCGCTACTGCAATCCAAATCGATCTTCCATCAGCTCTGGTGCCAATGCGTCTTCATTTCTGGTTGTCTTATTCCTCTGCTCAGGTTGGGAAATGCGCTGATCCTTCCGGTCGATGTGAATTTCGACATACCGTCGAGGGGGAGGCAATGTGTGACCGAATGTTCTTTTATGTCTTATTATTCGGCGGGGACAGGTCACCGTTCTCAATAAATGACAAAGCATATAAACAAGTCTTGGCAAAAAGACGAAGTGCTGTCAAACCAAACGCCAGGAAGGTCCGGGAATCTGCTTCCATGGCCACCACAGGAGGAGTAACCGGGACGAGGGCGGGCAGTCAAAAGATGCAAGCACTCAGCGTGGCAGATTTCCTGTCCGTGGATTACAGAATCGCGACAAAGGTCGAGTCGCAAGCACGGAGCTCAGAAGTCTGGTCCTCATCAATGCTCCGATTCAACGCTCGAGGCTGGCATTGCTTATCCGAATGGTTTACCTGCGTTCGCCTAAACCTCGGGTCGTAACCACGGTTACATTGGGAGGTTGTGCAGGCGCTGGATGCGACCCCGGTTGCTGCTGCCCGACGGAAGGAGTGCCGGCGGGCAGCAGCATGTAAACATGGTTCGCAAAGTGGCCGAGCATCGGGACGTGTTCCCTGGATGGGAGTGACGGGTGACGGGCAGCGCGTGGAATGCCGTGCTGCCCGGTGCCCGGGGGTGGGGTTGGGGCTGCCTCCTGGGGAGCTGGAAGCGCGAGAGGCGAATGGAAGGACGAAGAGCGAACGATGGCGGCTGCTGCGATCGCGCAGCTGGAGCTGGTGGCGACGAATTTGGAGAGAATCAGACGGCGGGGCGGGGCGAGGGGAAGGGAAAGGAAGCAGGGAAAGATTTCCGAGGCATGCTTACGTGATGTCGCGCACGAATCTCAGAATTGGGTGGCAACGTGGACGGAGAAAGAAGCCATCACGACCCGAGGGATATGGTGTATAAAACGAGGCGGTTGATAATTTCAATTCAGCACGTCTTGGACCTGGACGACTACCACTCCTTGTTGGTGGGGGACTCGTCCAACGGAAGGAGGGGAAGCTCAAAGCTTTTTCTCGAAAGACGACTGAAGCGTGTACCGAGTGATCGAATAAACAACTCCACTCCTCTGTCTCTGTCTCCGCCTCTCGCTCTCTCTCTCTCTCTCTCCCCCCCTCTCCTCCTCCTCTCTCACAGGGTCTAGCAAGACACTACATTCGCCACACCGATCTGGCCTAACTTGCGCTGCACATCTGCTATGTGCGCATCAACCCAGGCGGTGGACGGCATATTACGAGCCCGGGATTGCATCTACGTCCACAAGCAGGAAACCCAGAGACTTGGGTCCGACCCGCGAGCCGTGTCAGTTGTCGCCTCGTGGTGACATTTGTACATTAGAGTGTAGCAGGAGGTGTGGGACTCTCGAAGGCTGAGAAGGGCGGGGCAATCTCCGCATGCAGGTTCTCTGGGGCCGAACACTCTCTCGTGTACAAAGAGATTTTCGTTTGTGTACATGCTGCTACTCACGCAAGTAGCAGTAAAGGCAGAGAATCTCAGCTGTGCATAATAAGTGAAGCTCAGCACAGCAGCGGTGGGTGGGACTTCGACACAGAAGGTTGCAGCTGCAGCTGCAGCTGCAAGTTTTTTTAATTTTAATTTTGAGGTTTTCCTTTTTGTTCTTTCGAAGAGATTTTTGGTACCTCGCTCGCGGAGGTAACGAAGGTACCCAATTCCAACGAGGTTCAGGAGAGGTCTCGTGGGCAATTTTTGCTCGGCAAGTGGGAAGAGGGACGATTCGGCTGGCGAAGCCAATGCTAACGACTATGCTTCTTCTCCGCGACCGCTCTAAAGCTTCAGGCGGGAGATTTTCTGATCCCACATATCTCAATTCGGCCATCTGTGTGGCACAAGCTGCGAGACCCCATAGCTTCGATTCGAAATCACAGGTCGTTAGGCCTTAGCACACACTGTCCCCGTGATATCCTCGATTCAGCACCGAGCGTGGAAGGGAGTACAAGTCTCGGCACCTGAGGGTGCGAAGTCCTCTGTGGAAAGAGGAATCGAAGGTCGACGCAATGGGTGATCGCGCTTCAGATGGAATAATTTCCACGCAGGCGGGAGTCACAGGTGTGGGTGCGGCAGAGGCCAGCGCTGCCGCTATGCCCGATACAGTTGCTCACGTGAAGGACCAAAACCAGCTCGAGGTGGTGAATGGGCACAAGTTGGACAAGTCGGATGTGGATGATGAGGAGGACGGCGAGGGAGCGAAGAAGGACAAGAAGAGTAAGAAGAAGAAGAAGAAGGATGACGAGGTCGTGGAATTGATTTCCATCCGCGAGCTGTTCTCGTTCGCGGACGGGCTGGATCGGATTCTCATCATAGTCGGAACAATAGCCGCCATCTGCAATGGGCTGGCGCAGCCGCTCATGACTCTGGTGTTCGGCCAACTTATCAACGCGTTCGGCCAAAATACTACGGACACCAAAGAGCTGGTCAGCGAAGTCGGAGCGGTAAGCAGTCCTGTCCTCCAGGAGCCCGCTCTGTCGCCAGAATTTCTCGTGTCCTGTCGCCCTGATCTGCGTACGGCATGCTCTCTGACAAGTCAGGCCGCTCCGTACCCTACTCTGACCACTTTGGATTGGATGGAATTCTGTGCAGGTGGCGTTGCGCTTTGTGTACATTGGAACTGGGAGTGCCATAGCTGCCTACATTGGTAAGAATGCTCGATTCAGCTCGTGAATCTCTTCAACCTTGCCCACCTGTTCTTCCTGAAAGTCTGGGGAAAGGGTGTAAAATTCGCTCTTCAGCCCGATTCCAGTTCTCAGCAGCCGTGCCTCCTCAGAGCCCGCCGTTTAATTTCCTGAACGCACGATGTATGAAGGATGTAGATAGATAACTCCGTATTCTTCTGAGAATCATTTTAGGATCCAATTTCTCCTGGTTCATACAAAAGCTCACAAATTGAATGAAATCCTCGATTGAATCCAATTGATATTGCATCAGCATGGAGCACAAGGGGTATGCATCGTTATCAAATCTAGGGGAAATTTATTGTTGGTGCTTCTGGTGAGCGCACGCAGAAATTGGATTGCCCATAATCTGTGATTTGGTATGGAATAATACTTAGTTCTGAGACTTGATGCTGGATGATTCGCTGTGCAGAGGTGGCATTTTGGATCGTTGCAGGAGAGCGACAGGCAGCGAGAATCAGAAGCTTGTACTTGAGGCAAATTTTGCGACAAGATATTTCCTTCTTCGATCAAGATACTACCACTGGCGAGGTGATTGCGAGGATGTCGGGAGATACAATTCTCATTCAAGATGCGTTAGGAGAAAAGGTATGCTGTCTGATTCCTCTTTCATTGTTGGTGGTTGCTCTTTCGCGCACATTGTGCCACTGGTTGTCAATAATTAGATGGTCGGATTCCTTCTTTCCGCACTGCAAATCTCAATGAGTTGAACGTTCCCGAATCAAGTCCATGATAACAATCCGTACTTTATAACATGCACGCCAGAATATGATTAACGTAGACCTGAGGCTTTGCTCTGTGGGAGGCCTTTCTCAAAAGCGTTACTAACGTGATGCTTGTTTCGAACACCCAGGTGGGCAAACTTTTGCAACTGACGTCCACCTTCTTCGGAGGATATGTTATAGCATTCATCAAGAGTTGGAAGCTCACTCTGGTAATGCTGGCAATCATGCCCATCATTGTCGTCACCGGTGGGCTTATGTCCAAGTTTATCTCGCAGCTATCCAACAGGGGCCAGAACGCATACGCTGGGGCAGGTTCCTTGGTTGAGCAGATCGTGGGCTCCATCAGGACGGTGAGTACTTTATTGTAGAAGGTGTACGTGACTTCTCGTTTTACTAGAATGTGTTGTTGCTGGTTCCAAAATTTGCGAGAGCTGTCACCGTATGCATCATGAATCGACCGGCAAAACTGTACATTTTGTTGGTTGGAAAATCCTGGAGATGGGGAGGATGACAGAGCTGCTTTGTATCTCAGGTGACATCTTACACGGGGGAGCAAAGGGCTGTGAAGATGTACGATGAATCTCTGAAAGGGGCAGAAACGGCGGGCATGCGGCAAGGTCTAGTTACTGGTGCCGGTTTTGGGTTCTTAATAGGCACCATGTTCATGGCTTACGGTCTGGCTCTTTGGTACGGAGGTATACTCGTCAGGGACGAGGGTTTAACTGGAGGCCAAGTGATTAACGTCATTTTCGCTGTTCTCACCGGAGCCATGTGAGTGGTCTTACAAGAATTCTCTTTCATGTTCCAAACATTAGTGCAGGTGTGATTTGTGCAGCTCTTGGAAGGGAGTAAACATAAGTGAAGGTTCAGGAGAGCACTCAAAACAGAGAATTGGGTTCGTTGTACTTACTTGTGTCGGTATCTTCCACTTGCAGGTCTTTAGGACAAACCTCTCCATCGATAGGAGCAGTGGCCAGTGGTCGAGCAGCAGCTTTCAAAATGTTCCAAGTTATAAAACGCAAGTCTGAGATCGACGTCTTGGACAAGAGTGGTGTGGTTCCTGAGATGTTGAAGGGTGATGTGGAGCTCCGAAATGTCGACTTCCACTACCCAATGCGACCTGATGTGCAAATCTTCTCGAATTTCAACCTTTTCATACCATCAGGAAAGACTGTGGCTCTCGTAGGAGAGAGCGGAAGTGGGAAGTCTACTGTCATAGCTCTCGTAGAGAGATTTTACGATCCTCAATCTGGTCAGGTGCTGATTGATGGGCTTGACATCAAAAGCATCCAGCTGAGGTGGTTAAGGGAGCATATCGGATTGGTTAGCCAGGAGCCAGTGCTTTTTGGAACGTCCATCAAGGAGAACATCTCGTACGGCAAGGAAGGAGCAACCATGGAGGAAATTGAGCATGCCGCAGCTCTTGCGAATGCAGCAAAATTCATCATGAGAGTTCCTCAGGTCTGTTCCGAAGGCTGGTTTTCTGCATATCAGGCAGCTGTGTATGCAATCCATCTTATTGAACAAGCAATCAATCTGAGGTGGACGTAGGTAGAAGTTCTTAGGAGCCCCGAAACATCAGGCTTATCTGAGCCTGAGGCTTTTGCTTACGAAGTGGTTCTGTGTGCTTTCTTTGTGGTTGTAGGGCTATGACACCTTAGTTGGAGAACGAGGTATACAGTTATCTGGAGGCCAGAAGCAACGAGTAGCAATCGCACGCGCCATCTTGAAAAATCCTCAAATACTCTTGTTGGACGAGGCAACCAGTGCCTTGGATGCAGAGTCTGAGCGGGTGGTGCAAGAAGCGCTCGATCGGGTCATGACCAACCGCACGACTGTTGTCGTCGCTCACAGGCTGACCACTATCCGAAATGCAGATATGATAGCTGTTGTGCAGCGCGGTGTAATCGTGGAAACTGGTAATAACAACGTCCTGCCTCCCCTTTGATCTTGTTTTTCTCGCAGCTCTGTCGAATTTGGTTCTGATTGCATCTCGTACCTTTTGCAGGATCACACAACGAGCTGATACAGAAACCCAATGGAGCCTATTCTCAGCTCGTACATTTGCAAGAGTTTTACGGCAAAAAGATGACAGAAGAGGAGAGTCCTGAAGATCCAGATTTTGTACCTCAATCCGAGCAGGAGGAGACATTGAGCAGGGATGATAGAAAAAGCGGAAGTTTTAGATCATCTTTCACCCTTCCCGCAACTAATGTGGTTAGAAGGTCCATGAGCAAGGGTGGCAGTACGAGGAATTCCTTCAGCCGTGATGGGAGCGTAAGGCGCAGTGAAACCTTCGGGGGATCATTGAAAGGTTCCAGGAAGTACGATGATGTCGACCCTGAGAGAGCTCAGCCGAAAAAGAATGAAGTAGTCGAGGTGTCCATTCTTCGGCTGGCTCAGTTGAACAGGCCAGAGCTGCCTCTGTTCTTGGTCGGTTCAATCGGAGCAGCTTGTTCGGGCTTGACCTTCCCAGTCTTCGGGCTTCTGCTGTCCAGTGTCATCACAGCCTTCTTTGAGCCCGTGGACAAGATGCAGAAGGACGTGAATTTCTGGGCCATTATGTTCGTCGTTCTGGGTGTCGGAGTCATGGTTGCAACTCCCGTGCAGCAGTGGAGCTTCGCAATCGTCGGACACAAGTTGATTCGACGCATCCGCCGTCTCACGTTCCAAAAGATTCTTCAGCAAGAGATCAACTATTTCGACCAGGAGGAAAATTCCAGGTCAGTTCACGGTGCACCCTCTCTCCTCAAATGTTTCGTCGTGTCGAGCAAACCTTCCACCCTTGCTTACAGAGTAGAAAGCTGACTCTGGTGCGTGGTGTGCTTCCAGCGGCGCTATCGGTTCACGGTTGTCAGGGGATGCTTCGGCAGTACGCAGTTTGGTTGGAGATGCCCTGTCTCTCCTGATGCAAAATCTCTCCACCATCACCGCAGGACTGGTCATAGCCTTCACTGCAAGCTGGCAGTTGGCTTTGATCGTCATCGCTGCGGTTCCTCTCTTAGGGGTGCAAGGCTACGTCCAGATTAAGTGGATGCAAGGCTTTGCCGAGGATGCTAAGGTCAGTCAGTGTTCATTCTCTCCTTCTGTACATTCATGAGTCGCAGCAATTTGCTCTGGATTACAATGTCCTTCCACATCTGCTCTCCCTCGATCGTCTGCTTAATCCTTAGTCCTGTCACGTGCGCTCAGGTGCTGTACGAGGACGCCAGCCGCGTTGCCAACGATGCCGTCAGCAGCATCCGGACGGTGGCGTCATTCTGTGCCGAGGACCGGATCTGCAGCTTGTACGAAGAGAAATGCCAAGAGCCCGTGAAGACTGGCACGCGCCAAGGTTTGATTGCTGGAATGGCCCTGGGCTTCTCCAACTTCGTCATGTTCAGCACCTACGCCTTGTGTTTCTGGGCTGGTGGCAAACTCGTGGACAACGGAACTCTGACCTTCAAGCAAGTGTTCAGGGTAAGGCTGTGCTCCCATTGCAGCACGGCGCTCAGCTGTGGGTTCGGGCAACTCCACCACAGCTGCGCTGAGTTGCTTCCCTCTTTCGCTCTTTCCATCATTTTTAGCACAATCCTACCAATTCTGAAATAATTGTCAGTCTTATATCTTTACCGTCAGCCATAATTCTATCTGAAATTTTACGTCCACACCACCTATTATACGAATAAACTAACCGACACTTAATGTGAAAAGTAATGGCTTCTCCCGATAATCGAATGCCTTTGATGTACAGTCGAGGGGAGGCGTTGACCAATCCTGTGTCCCCGTGTGACAGGTATTCTTTGCCATCACTCTGAGCGCTGTGGGCGTGACCCAAACGGCCGGACTCGCGCCGGATTTCACCAAAGTCAAAACCGCCGTCAACTCGATTTTCAAAGTCCTCGACAGGAAATCAGAGATCGACCCTTACGAAGTGTCGGGTCTGAAGCCGGACCAAGTTCGTGGCGAGATCGGGTTCCAACACGTCTCGTTCTTCTACCCCACGAGACCCGACGTCCAAATCTTCCAAGATCTGTGCTTCAAGATTCCAGCCGGCCAGGTGAGATGCTCATTCCCTCTGCCAGTCTTTCCAAGCTGAGCTCTGTTTGCCAAATCGATCGAGAATCTGCTTCCCTTCCTGCTGACAGAAGAGTGCCAGGAGAAGGACTGACCGGGTGACCGACTGACTGATTGCAGACCATGGCGCTGGTGGGAGAGAGCGGGAGCGGGAAGTCGACGGTCATCTCGTTGATCGAGCGGTTCTACAACCCGCAGGCGGGAGTGATCACCGTCGACGGCGCGGACATCAAGACGCTGAACCTGAAGTGGCTGCGGCAGCAGATCGGGCTGGTGAGCCAGGAGCCCGTGCTGTTCAACCAGAGCATCGCCTGGAACATCCGGTACGGCCGGGAAGGCGACATCAGCGAAGACGAGGTGGTGGCCGCGGCGACCAGCGCCAATGCCCACCGGTTCATCAGCGCTCTGCCCGACGGGTACAAGACCAAGGTGGGCGAGCGGGGAGCGCAGCTGTCGGGTGGCCAGAAGCAGCGCGTGGCCATCGCCCGGGCCATCCTGAAGGACCCGCGGATCCTGCTGCTGGACGAGGCCACCAGCGCCCTGGACGCCGAGTCCGAGCACGTGGTTCAGGAGGCTCTGGACCGGATCATGGTCGACCGCACCACGGTCGTGGTCGCTCACCGGCTGTCGACCATCCGGAACGCCGACATCATCGGCGTGGTCAAGAACGGTGTCATCGTCGAGCAGGGTCGCCACGATGACCTCATCGCTCGGCCGAACGGCGCGTATGCCTCTCTGGTGAAGCTGCACATGTCCACCGCGTAAGTACAACTGCGATCGGTACCACGTCCATCACCTTGGGCTACTGCGATTGGGGCCTACCTCTTTTGGTTTCATCCATGAAGGACTTGATGGGGTCTTCCCATCCTTCTTTGCTACGAGAGTAGGAGAGAGGGCGAAGGACAGAGAGAGACCTCGAGGTTTCGTACACTTATAGATTATAGAGCCGATCCATCTTGTAGGTAATACACTAGAAAACCCCACCGGAGAACCACTCGGCCATGAAGTCTTTAGTAACCAGGACTGAGTTATTTTCTGAATTTTTGAATCCTTGTGCAGGAGCCACGATTGGGTTTTAGAGAAATAACCCTCTTACCTGGATCAAGCCTTATTTGAGTAGAGCATAATTTCCAATTCACTTGAGTCTATAGCAACTAGCTTGCCTCATCCTCCCAAGAACTGCCACGTTTGTCTCATACAGCGTAATCACAGTGGCATTTGTTATGTACACGAACTAAAACCCAACAGCACATTGAGATGAATAAAATGACCAACCCGGGGGATTTTCTCCCCTTTTCGCGGTTTCAGTCTACAACTTTAATATCTTTCGTCGGAGCAAAAGTGTGTTACACACTTTACTTTTTGTTGTACATCCGACTTGTTTGTTTGGTGATTATTCGATTCATGCAATTTGGGCAGCTGTACTGACATGTGTAAGAAAAGAAAATTTTGTTATGAATGTATGGAATATTGTAGGAAAGGAAAAAAGTATTATGTCCAATGAAGGTAAAATGAAGATAAAACATTGCAGTTAGCTTTCGTTCAGATGTTTGTCGAATGCGAGTACCATCAACAATCTTAATCTGCCCGAGGAGAAGATTCACAAAGTAACATAGTATAACATGTCAGGACTACTGTTCAATATTGTGTGATGACCAATATTTGCATTGTCAAGTTAGCCATCTTCCTACAAATATTAAATCAGAAGTAAATATCTATCAATGAAACTTCTTTTCTAATAATGAACTAAACCGAAGACATTATGAAATAAGCTATTGAACAGTTATCATTAATTTGCACATTATTGTATATATCACAATGGCATTTTTTAATAATTATTCTAAATATGGACAATTTCACATGATTTGGCTAAGCAAATATATATATGCAAATGTAACCACAAAACCATTATATACTCTTCAATATGCACACAATTGACAAGAAAACATAAAAATGAAGAGTGTTCATTATATTAAACTCCCCCTCATTTGGATGTTTTAAAATTGGAGTCAATATTCATAAACATTTTCGCTGATCTTTTGCAAGGAAACAACAATGATTATCAGTAAAAGCCTTGTGATAAATATCAAGAGCTTACATCTAGTTTGCTATATTTGTTAATGTCCATTTAGTAAATTTCAGTCTTTCTCATCTCACCCTAAAAACTGATGATAAGTTGAATAAATTTTGACTAAATTAACATGATACTCTTTTATGTTACTCTAGTGATGATGCATGTATTCAAGCAAATATTGATTGTGATCAGGAATTACTAAAGATTTTATTGCAGTTTCTTTTATAAAATTTGAAGAAAACACAAAAGCATGAAAGAATCAACATATAAAATATAAGATTCATTTCATTTGTTTAGGTAAGCATATAAACAGTTTCTTGATAAAATCATCATTGCTCTGTAAAGTGCTTCAAATTGATACTCAAATGTTGTGTATAACTCGTTCTAGTTATTATTTAATTAAAGTAGAAATCTAGATGGAACTAGAATTAAATTGAATTATTATTTTCCACTCTACATGTAAGACATTCAAATTCTATAATTTTTATGATAATTGTGCAAAAAGATCTAGAATAAAATTTAACATGAATCTATATATTTAAAATCATAAAAATTATGAATTTAAGATAAATAGAAAGATTCATTCATTTAGATAAGATAAATACTAATCAGATCAGAAAACATAATATTTATATATATCAGATCATATGCAACACATGCAATCTAGAATAATACTTTCAAATATTTCTTACAAAATCATCTTTAAGACAAAAAATTATTATTTATCAGTTTTGACTCATCCCAACATTTTTCAAAAATATTGGAATGATTTTTTCCATTTTTTTTACATTCAATTTATGTCTCAATGTAAATCACCTTGATTGCCACAATTGATTTTGCAATATTTTGTATCAATTTCATATGTTTGACAATCATGTTAGACCGGAAATCTGATTGTGATCTTTTCATTATCGTAACACAATCATATTTTAACCAAACCAAGCTATGCAGGTTGCAATAAAGATCTAAAACTAATACATGCATCTTCAAATCTGAACTAGTTATAGATTTTTTCTCATTATATCTTACTCATAAACATCATCTACATGAATGCATGATTTTTCATCATTTAATTTATCAAACACAGATCCAAATAAGACTTCACTTTGAAGTATGCATGTATTAAATTCACAGATTTTCAAATATATGGGTCGTTGCATGTCATGCACATGTTATTCTTGTACATATCTAAAACCATGTCATGCCAGTGCAAATTATAATGTATTTTTATTATACATATCAACTTTTTGTTGGAATCTTATAAATTCTAATTCTGTACATATTGCATTTGTTGGACAGTGATATAGTAAGAGTTGTATAAAATATATCATCCAAAACATATATTTAAGTTCATCACAGTTTTCTACACTTCAGGTAATCTTTGAATTTTTATTTATAAATAAAATAAATTTGAATCAGAAATTTTCTCTTCTAACTTACAACACATGAAAATTTCTTCCCACTGATTGCTATGCCACAATTATTACTAGCAGCAATAAGCGTGTAACTGTATTGAGTTTGAGATTTTTTTCATAAGCAAAGATTGTTGCAATATTAATATTCATATATATGTATGTTTTTGTATATGTGTATATATTAGTTATTTTCATGTTCATATATGTACTTCAAAACATTTATGAACTTAAAATATGTTTATCAATTTTGATGTTTAATGATATCAATAACTCTTGATTCTTTGAAAATATCCATATATTATTCAATAAATTTTATTTAATGAAATAAATATTGAAATAAAAGAACATACATTTGAGACATGATTGTTGAGTTTAAGTGTTGGGATTAAAGAGTAATGTCCATACTAGCTAAATGTAGCTAGGAAGTGTTGCGAGGACTCAGTATACTTGATCCTAGTGAACACACACTACACTACGTTTTTTATCATTGCAATTTACTCTCTCGCCTGTGCTGACCGTAGCCCTGCGCATGGATCAATCATGTTATCTTCATGTCTAGTCTATCTGTGTCACTATCAACTGGCAGTGATTATCTTGTGTGTCTCGGACTAACAATAATAATTCAAACAGAGTTAAAATAGTTAAAAAAATAATATTAAATTTAATAAATAATTCTAATATATATATATGTTATTTAAAAAAACAAACTAAAAAAATTGTTTTAAGCGCAGAAATAATGAAAAAATATTTGATATTCGTTTATTATGGCGAAATTGTGTAATTGGTTTCAAAAAAATTATGTGAAAAATCAGGTAAACTTTCTTATTGATGAAATTTAGGATATCAAGTTTGATAAAAAAATATAAAAAAATTCATAGCTTTATTCAAATCATCTTTACAGTAAAATATGTCAAATTTTTTGTTACACTACCTAATTGATCAAGCATACTTATTACTTTTTTTATAATTATATATTGTGTGTGTGTGTGTATATATATATATATATATGAATATAGAAATTGATGAAAATTATAATCGAAATAAAATAATACAGAATTTCAGAATATTAAAAATATTGCTCTACATCTCAAATTTTTTTGAATGATTTATATATTTACAAATTTCTCATACAACCAAAAATAATAATTTGTTTACTATTTTTTCAACCTTCTATTGTGAGAGTTTAGCCCATAAACAATGTGAGATTTCACAAAAAATATATAAAAAATAATCAAATATTTAATAAGTTTCTTGAAGATGAAAGTATTAAGTAAAAATTTATAAGCTAATCATAGTTATATTGATAAATTGTGATGATCAACGATATATATTATATCATATCGATATATTATAATTCAACATGTGATAAAATTTCTTACAATCTTTTTTGCAATTTTTAAATCATATATTTTATTAAATGCAAAATTTTGTCATTTCATTAAAAAATAATATAAAATAAAATGAAAGGAAAAATTAAATGTATCAACATGATTGAATTACTATCAAAATTAATATATTTTTAATAAATATTATTATAAATTTGAAATTATGAATAACAAAATTTTTTGATATTTTTTTCAAAAAATCAAAATAATTCAAAAACTTACATTTTCAAAATCATCATGAACTATGTACATTAATTTGCATGACAAAATACATGATTAATAATCTTGTTTTCATATATCTACACAATAACAATATCTTACATTTTTTTTTCAACTTAATTGAATATTATAAATTTAATAAATTTATAATAGTTCTAAATAGAAATAAAGTAGAAATAATCTTGAAATGTATTTTTTAATTTAAATATTAATTATTTAAAAATAAATCAATAAATATATATCAATACAAATCAACTTTATTAAAATATTGTCCGTGAGTGCACAAATAATTCTATCAAAATTTCACAAATGGAAAGGGAACTGAAACCAACATTCCGTCCACTGCAGACAAATCACACCACGGTCGATCTGTCAGGTTCCGTCCTCCATCCCATGTCTTCTCTGAAGAGGCAACTGACGCAGCGACTGATAAACTGGAGGTGGGTGAGAAAGCCCTCGGTCTTGGCGAGCCTCTGCTCTAGGCTCGGGACCGCGCCTCCGTCTCGGCCCGGGTTGTCCTCTTGCTCCCCCGGACCTCCCGATGGGCGCCTTGAGTTTACTATTCTCGTCCGCAGTTCGGGGGGCTCACTTGGTGGCAGGGGAGGGAAGGGGAGGCGAACGGGAGGGGAGCTGTCGAGTGGAGAAGGGGACGCGAGAGCGCATTTGAGGATGCAGAGTCGAAGACGGGCGGGCTCGTTTCTCTCCGATCGCTGCTCGTAGGACTCTCCTATCGTATCGACGAATTGTCCCTTGCTCTGCAGATATGGCTTCCGGAAGTGCACGCAGGGCTGGAGCCCGACTCACCAACCTGCTCTATGGCTCCATAAATTCTTCAACTCCTGCCACCGCAGCATCATGGACTCAAACCGGTCTCGCCGCCGGGTAAAAAATTTTCTACTGAAATCTCACATTGTTTTGTCATGCACAGATGGGTTGGACCCGAGCTAACGATCTAGATGAAGCATTTGAGTTCTAATCCGTTGTGTGTTGAAGATGGATGCTTGGAAGCATGAGCATGCTCAAGGCTTCTGCACTAGTAGACTCTGTTTTTAATCCCGCATCGTGTGCTTTGGTCACAATTGCCCTGGTAGGGTACAGATGAGTGGAATTAGCGAAACAAGGGCTCAAGACGTGCCTCCAATGGTTGCAGGTCTTAAGATTATCATGGATTTGACGCCACTAATTTTCTAGCATTCACCTGATTCCCTTTAGGTTTGA